CCCAAATGTGCACGCAAAGAAAGAAGGCGTGGTTTCAGTAACCGCAGTTAGTGTTGAAGCAGCATGTCAGGGAGACGCTGTGTGTTTCTAGACGAAAGCAAAAGCACTTTATTTGGCCTTCCGGAAGTAGATGCATTTAGGAATCTTTAGGATACAGAGAACAGCAATGCATTTTATGGACGACCGTTTCATGAACCTAGGAGAGGAGGTAATTCTGAAATGCGTGAGAGAGAAAGAGTCAGCAGTCTTAACCGCAGCTTGTGTACTGCATCATTACTGTGTCTGTTCCCTTTCGGGCTTGAACTGATGGTAAAACTAATGACATTATTTACTGTCTTTACATTAGTTTTGAAAGATGAAGCTTGCGATTATGGTAAGGGGCGTTACATTTCCGACGAGTGCTTGTGGTGTTCGGCCAATCACAATGCACTGGGTCAGCTGGCCAATCAGAGCAGACTGCGCTTGTCGGAAGGAGGGGCTTTGTAGAAAACGAAGCGTTTGAGAGAGGCGGGGCATAGAGGACCTACAATAATGTACAGTATTTGAAAAATAATGTGTTTTTTGAACATTAAAGCATGTCAGCATATTCTGTTACACCAAATACACAAAATAATGATCTTTAAAAAAAGCATCATATGACCCCTTTAATAAAGCACTATTTTAGTTTTTGTTCAGTATCAATTTTAAAACGATCAGTTAATTAATCGGTATCGGCCAGTGTGGTCCAACCTAGCTATCGGTCGACCTCTACTACACACACACACACACACACACAACACCATTCAAAAGTTTAAATCAAACAAATTATATCATCAGCATAATTTCTATGCAAAGTTGAATGGAAAAAAACCCTACTGTATGTGTCCAACATATATTTGACGAGCTTTTCTGATTAATTGCAAAACAAATGAAGAGCCTGCAAGCCAATCATTTGGGAACCTTTTTAAAAAGATACATTTCATCAAGATATATTACAACACACAGCAACCTTGGATACACCTTAAATATGACATAAATAATATGGGTTCAGGTGGCTTCACAAGACAACATGGTGTGCAGAACAGTTATATAGCACCTAGCAAACAAAGTATTGTTGTGGGTCCATGGTACAGTAATAATATCATATACTATATGATTAACATAGGAGTACATGTTACTCCAGTGTACTTGAAAGTATATTATGCCCCCAAACATACTCTGAAGATCCTACTTTGTGGCAGTGTTTGATGACAAGGTTTTAAACTCTCAACCAGAGCAGATGATAATGATTCACAATGCACTGGGTCAGCTGGCCAATCAGAGCAGACTGCGCTTGTCGGAAGGAGGGGCTTTGTAGAAAACGAAGCGTTTGAGAGAGGCGGGGCATAGAGGACCTACAATAATGTACAGTATTTGAAAAATAATGTGTTTTTTGAACATTAAAGCATGTCAGCATATTCTGTTACACCAAATACACAAAATAATGATCTTTAAAAAAAGCATCATATGACCCCTTTAATAAAGCACTATTTTAGTTTTTGTTCAGTATCAATTTTAAAACGATCAGTTAATTAATCGGTATCGGCCAGTGTGGTCCAACCTAGCTATCGGTCGACCTCTACTACACACACACACACACACACACAACACCATTCAAAAGTTTAAATCAAACAAATTATATCATCAGCATAATTTCTATGCAAAGTTGAATGGAAAAAAACCCTACTGTATGTGTCCAACATATATTTGACGAGCTTTTCTGATTAATTGCTAAACAAATGAAGAGCCTGCAAGCCAATCATTTGGGAACCTTTTTAAAAAGATACATTTCATCAAAATATATTACAACACACAGCAACCTTGGATACACCTTAAATATGACATAAATAATATGGGTTCAGGTGGCTTCACAAGACAACATGGTGTGCAGAACAGTTATATAGCACCTAGCAAACAAAGTATTGTTGTGGGTCCATGGTACAGTAATAATATCATATACTATATGATTAACATATGAGTACATGTTACTCCAGTGTACTTGAAAGTATATTATGCCCCCAAACATACTCTGAAGATCCTACTTTGTGGCAGTGTTTGATGACAAGGTTTTAAACTCTCAACCAGAGCAGATGATAATGATTCAACACTGTAACAAACGAGAAGTTGTTGCGCGCGCAGCATCAGTGCAGCCTAAACGTTGTCTACGCAAACAGCTCAGTGGGGTTTATACAACAGCCAGCATATTAGTACCAAACTCCCGGTGTCTATACACACGTATAACTGCATTAACAGTTCAACACAACGCGAGCTTCTCCACACGAGTGCATCAGTAGCGCATTAGCAGCTAAAGCAGCTCAGCTCAAAACAACACGAAGAGCGCACACTTACCCCCAAATGACATAGTTAGTCTTGACATTTTTAGGCCAGGAGAATTCTCCGAAAATAACCTCATCCCCTTTCGCAACAATCTCCTTTTTCTGGATGTTGTACAGGCGAAGAACACTCAACACGTCCGCCATGATCGCGCCTCCTCATTACGAGTGTTTTATTTAAGACCCAGCAACTTCTCAGTACCGGGGCTGCCTCGAATAGCGCCTATATAAATTAATGAATTAAAATGCTTTTTTATCGTATTTGTTGAGATTCAGCCACAATAGAGACAATATAAGCAAATTAAGTAAAGGGATTATTTATAGGTGGATAAAAGCTAAGCATTAAAAAGTATTTAAGACTCGAATGCACAGTTCAGGCAAATCTGGGGCAGCTAAACCGAACAGCCTTGACAGCACACACACACACACACACATACACACATATATATATATATATATATATATATATATGAAAGAAAAAATTATTTTAGAGTTCTATTCTATAAGACAAAATAGTTTAAAGTTCATTTCATATAACTTTTTCAAAGTTTCAAATAAGTTTTTTAACTTTATTAATTTAATAATTCCTTGTATCACTTGTATTTATTTGATTATTGTTTTCTAAACAAGTTCCTAATTATTTTATTATTACATTCAAATATTTTCAGCCTATCATATTCTCTAAAAAATAAAAAAATATACCATTAACACTCGGAATTAGCACTATAACTGCTACTTATAATAAATTCAGTAGAGTGAAATTCACATTTTACATCACACAGACTTGCTGTGAATAGAATACAGTCCAAGTAGCAACATTTTAGAACAGAATTACCAAGTATCACAAACAAATCACTCTCAAAAGGCTCTTTATTAATTGATCATTAATGTGTTATTAACAGAAAAACATTTTTTTTTGACAGAACCCAATTGGCAAGGGGAAACATCATGTGAAGTATACATTTGAACAGCATTTTTGGCTTGAAAGACTATTGAATTATTATTTTAATAGTGTTGATAAACTTTATGAGGTCACCTTATGAAACAAATGTATTCAGCAATATATATTTAAAAATGTAATAAACTTTGGTAACTTGCTATCATGTTAACTACAGTATAGGAACAAATTCAATAAAAACGTGGCAAATAAATTTCAATTTGTATCCCAATTTTGTAACATCCACGAGAGCACAGCCTTTCATTATTTGTCATATTTATTATCCCATAATTCAAGAATTTTAGATCTAAATGATCTGTAATATTACACACATAGGTACATTAAGTATTGCATCTCAAAAGGAACAGGTAGTAATTGTCTACAGAAGTTTTAGTGTTTGTTAGTTTGTGCCTACTTTTTCCTAACGTAATAATCATCCTAGCAGCAGTAGCAAACTTATAACCTCGATTTGACACTAAGAGACACAAAGAGCAAAAGAAAATGCACAAAAAAGTAACTTTCTACACATATAAAATGAATCTAGACGCAAGATCCATTAACAAGCGCTATAATTCAATCCATTCACCTCGTTTTCACAATTCTGAAATGTTATTTAGTTCATCAAAAGTGTGCCACAGAGCAAACTGCTAAATATTCAGGTAAGTCTTAACCAGACTTAAGTGTCAAGCCTCTCTTGAATCATAATAAATGGTTATTTGCGATCGTATATCAAATAGTTACTGGACCACAGAACACTTAAAACATTACTGATGAGTTTAGTCATTTAGGCTACACGGGTTTCAGAGAACATCAGATTGCTCGATTTCCATTTCAGTGACCTCGCAAATGGATTTTGCTTTATATTTCTCTCTGATTTTTGTGGAAGACCTAAGGAGCACTTTCAGCTTGATGTGTGATATTTTATAGCATCTCATGACACAGAAGATAACATGAGTGGAGACACAGGCCTCTAAAAATATAGTACATTATTTCCAATGAAGGTCAGAGACACAACAACATGTACTTCAGCTATGCTCTTCTCAGAAATGAGCATTATTTCACTGGACCAGGTTAATGAATATCAGTAAACATAATCGTCATTTTGTGAATTTGCTCTCCGTGATTTTCACTGCAACTACTCCAGCCTGCTGGTTATTCAATTAGATTTGGACTCCATTCCAAACTTCAAAAACATGATTTCCAAATTAAAATGTAGAAAATTTTTTTGCATGTTGATGCGGGTTGCATCCATGTCTCATTGTCC